TAACATAGGGGTGCCCTGACTTATGCACCCTGTATTTTAAGGAAAAACATTTATTTATTTATGATACATTATTCATTCACAAAGAAAATTGGTGTCCTTAAAGGTTGGACTTTTCCTCATTTTTCTAATTAAGGCATTAAGATCAATATCCAAAAGATGATTTTTTATTCCTCTTTTTAGGCAACTTTAGCATGGGTGCCAAAACTTATTCATACCACTGTATAATATAATATATATTAGTAGGGCCCTACTAATATCATTAGTAACATTAAATATTGCACAATAAACCAAAGTATATCAGTAGGAGTTTCCTTAAGTCTTTCTACAGGCTGGTTTACTACAACAGTAGAATACAATTCCGAAATTATGGTTTATACTGTAGTTTTGGCGTGCCACCCCAAGATTTTAACTGGCCCCATCTGGCCACCCCTATGAAAAATTTCTGGAGGCACCACTGATTTTCTGCACACAAAATTATACAAGCCTATATGTATACAACACTGTTAGACCTTACCAGTGTTTTTTTTTTTTACAGTAAAATGCTGGCAACACTGTTAATTGTTAAGTTCTTTACTGTAATCTACTGTAAGTTACTGAGAAAATGCTCAATTTTAATTAACTAATTTCACTTGCAGAAACCGACTGCCTTGAATTGACCAACTCTCATTTAAATGTATCAACTAAAATTGGTAATATACTAATAATGTGAAAAAAAGAAACTTGAACTTAATTCATTTGACATCACTAAAACAATATTGTTCATGATAAGATTTCCACTGGATCAGCAACTACACAGTCACCGGCCGCTTGTTAAATAAAACAACACACAGCATATCATCAATGTTTGTAGATCTTCTCCTGGACTGAAGCACAGGCTTCAGCACGACGGTGACCCAAAAATATTTATTTTACAGTAAGCCACTGACAACAGTGTTGGCAGTGTAAACCTGTTTTACAACTTACAGTATATAACTGTTAAAATACATTCTGTGGGTGTGTCTGCTTATCTTAAGTGTTTGTTGAGCATTAGTGATGAACACCTGCTGTTAAACAAGCAGAATCACAGAAGGAAACAGGAACACACCAACAGAAAATAGGAAAACACAAGATCTACAACTGACTTCCAGCCATCACACATTATCACACTTGTTATTATCCAGTATTACTTTATATCTGCCATACATCTATAAATGTTGTTGAGATGTTTAACTGAAAATGTTTGGTTTGAAGTTACCATTATAGAGATCAGTGTTTACTTTCGTTGAGATGCTGACCATTGACTTTTAATTAGGGTTTGGTTTTATCCGATACCAGTACCTACTCTGTATTTTTTAAACGGTTCCGGTGCCTAAACGGTTCTTGAAACGGTACTTAAAGGAGTAGTTAAAAACTTTTGCTGATAATTTACTCGCCCCCATGTCATCCAAGATGTCCATGTCTTTCTTTCTTCAGTTGAAAAGAAATTAAGGTTTTTGATGAAAACATTCCAGCATTTTTCTCCATATAATGGACTTCAATGGGAACCAATGGGATGTTTGTTTTTTCACACAAAAAGTATTCTCGTCGCTTGATAAACATATAGTTGAGCCACGGTAGTCACTTGGGATATTTAAACATTTTCTTCATTGACTTTCTGGGTGACTTTCTTGACTTTCTGAGGTCTTACGGGGTTGGTACAGCATGGGGGTGAGTAATTAATGACTTAATTTTCATTTTTGGGTGAACTAACCCTTTAATGTGAATAATTATCAGAGTATTATACATATTTAGTGTCATTCCTAATGTCTCTAGGTGACTACAAGTGTCTCATTCCCAAATAAGTCAAACAAAAAAGTACTAAGGTTTTTAGGAGTCTAGAGATATCTGGCACACAAAGGAATGTGGTCTCTCCAGACAAACGGTGTACAGAAGGTGTAACATGAATGCATATCCCCATTGTTTGCACACGTTTCAAAGTCCATGTGAAAGAAGTTTCTGTTTATATAATGAAATGCAGAGGTGGAAATTACAAATTACAACCACTCAGATTGTACGAAATTTCTGTGGTATATCTACCATGTCCAGACGCACAGAAAAGTCTCTTGGAGCGATGCCTTAAACTCAACAGGAAGTCGGACATTTCTAATTTTACCGCCATTTTTGGATGATTTACTCATTAAGTACTTTAACGAACTCCTCCTAGGGATTTAGTCGGATCGACTTCACATTTCTGCTGTACCTTCTAAAGGCATTGACGATGTAAAGTTGTGCTATCTGCGCGTTTTCGTCGATGGGCGTGTCCGTGGCGTCGATGATTCGCCATGAAACAGGAAGTTGTAGTAACTTGGCTGTAAAAGCCCAGATATGCATGAAATGTTACACATTTGACAAGAGTCCCGCCCTGAACAAATCTACATGCCGACATTCACCCACAGTCATAGCGCCACCTGCTGGCAACAGGAAGTGGCCTTTAACGAAGCAGCGTAGCAAATGCACAGCCGCACCGGCTGAGCTGCAGAAAATGCAACGCGGCCGCCTCAGACCCCGACGCGCTACAGGTGCGAGGGCCCGCCCATCGCTGCTTGCAGCTTTAATTGTTCTTGAGTTTCATCAATGGTCATTTATCTGCTTTTCTGATGCTTTTCTAAACGTATCATATTATCAATACAGATTGTTTGTGGTAAGATTAGACCGTAGTCATTTATCTTGTCAGTGTGCTTGTTTTAACAAGAGAAATAGTCGACTTTCACTAATAACACAAAACAATTAACGTTAACTCGCATACCAATACATCCATATGAAGAGGTTGTTCTACAGGTTCGTCGTCGTCTTTATCGACTCGCTCGCTCTGGCTCGAATATGTAAGGCTTGATGGACAAGTCTTCTGTTGTTGACATTTCGTTAACGTGTGAATAAAAATGTTTTTTGAAGCAATCGTATATAATCGTATATCTCTAATCAAACTACAATAATGGCCGAACGCGGGGAGTTGAACTGACCGTGAACTCATCGACCTGGAGAGCGGGCGGGGTGTGACGCATCTCCTTTTTATTTAAAGGGGCCGCTTTGAAACGGGTCGCTCACAGACGCACATCAGAAAAGGGGCTTGTGGAGCTATAATAATGAGGAGTTCAGACCCAAGCATTGCAGTTATGCTTTATATAGACCACAACGGTATGATTTATATGTAAAAATGAATGATTTAAAAGCATGATATGTACACTTTTAGGGTTATTACACTGTCAAATGCTTTAACAACAGTGTCATTAATATTTCCCCTTACCTCAAGTAAAGTGGAACACGTTGGACTAGTTATGATTTCTTTGTTAATGTCAAGTTGTCATAAATTTTGGACTGGAATGCGGCTCGGCTCGCGAGGCCAAACAAGTGTTTGCAGCGTGCCTGTTGTTTTGTGGCGTGTGGTGTGTTGTAGTTTTATAACGTTACTAGTTGTTGCAACAGCATGTGAAACAAATGGCAAAAACAAAACAAAAAACGTTTAAAAAAATGTACGCCGTTAAAATGGGGTTGCGTTAACACCATTAATAACGCAATTAACTGACAGCATCAAAATCAATTCTTATGCTGCGTTCAAGTCATCTCGTATAGATCGTAATTACGAGTTGAACGCTCTTGAACGCCACCACAATGTCGTAAATACCAGTGGGGAGCTCGGGATTTTCTTTAAGCCCCGATCTGTACGAGTTGGGGGCGTGTCCGTGAGAAAGTCTGTTGACGGTAAATTTTAATTGAATTTCAATGTTTACTCATTGACATTGCAAGGCTTTTTTCATTAATAAAGCAAGCTCTCTGCACAAAATATGATATCTAAAAATTATACCTAATGATAGAGTTTACATTGGCTTCATAAGCTAATAAAAACATAAAAAGAAAAACACACCTGATGCACATTCTTTGTTCATTTTTTTTTTTATTAGCAGAGTTAAAGGAGTAGTTCACTTTTGCTGATAATTTACTCACCCCCATGTCATCCAAGATGTCCATGTCATTCTTTATTCAGTCGAAAAGAAATTAAGGTTTTTGATGAAAACATTCCAGGATTTTCTCCATATAATGGACTTCAATGGGAACCAAACGGTTCAAGGTCCAAAAGTTTCAGTGCAGCTTCAAAGGGCTTTAAACGATTCAAGACGATGAATAAGGGTCTTATCTCGCGAAACGATCGCTCATTTAAAAAAACTAAAACAAAGTTTAAGTTTTATAAGCTCAAATGGTCAAATGCTCTGTTCTGTGATGCGCATTCATGACTCAACGGTTGATTCCGTGGTTGAATGGTATGGTTGATTCAACGAACGAAATTAACAAATTGACTTGGAAAAGGATTTGTTCATTTTGATGAACGAATTCGAACAGAAGAGTCACAAACGCGCATCACAGAACAGAGCAAGGTGACCATTTGAGCTTATAAAACTTTATTATTTTTTTAAAAAATGAGCGATCGATAAGATAAGACCCTTATTCATCATCTGAAATCGTTTAAAGCCCTTTGAAAAGTTTGCAGTTTGCACTGAAACTGTCTTTTTTTGGACCTTGAACCGTTTGGTTCCCATTGAAGTCCATTATATGGAGAAAAATCCTGGAATGTTTTCATCAAAAACCTTAATTTCTTTTCGACTGAAGAAAGAATGACGTGGACATCTTGGAAGACATGGGGGTGAGTAAATTATCAGCAAAAGTTTTTTTAAAAGTGAACTACTCCTTTAACAAACCTTGCTGTATTTTCGTGTAATTCATTAAAAGAAGGTACACCGCCTTTTTGCTTCGACGAAACTGACTTGAACGCACCTCACGTCGTAAACACGACTTTCCACCTCGTACGTACGAACTTCCCAGGAGGACTTGAACGCAGCATTAGATCAAACAGTAACCAATGTAATTCCATTAAACCCGGTGTAATATACGGTCTCCTTTTTAATTCCATTTGTACTCTGGCTATTGCATTTTGTATCATTTTGCAACTTCACTATTGAATACATAGGATTTCTGAAAGATTACATTACCTGCTGTCTGGCTCGTTGGCTGTCGCTCTGTGAATTGGGCCTATGAGGAAATGATAAAAAAAAAATATCCAGCTTAGTGGTTTGTTACACACACACCCGCCTGCATAAACTGGCAGAGCGAGACCCTTTAAGATCTAAAAAAACAAGTAGGCCAACTAAGTAGCTTAAATTAAATAAATTGTTCCCAACTTAAAAAAGAAAACTCAGTTAAAACACTACAATGATGACAAATATTTGCCGTTTTATCTAAGATCTGAAGAGCTTGTCTAAAAAACACTTTGATTTTAGTCATACATTTGATAGGCTATGTGGAAGATGGAGTTCATAAATAAAACTGTAGCTTTTTTTGGTCAAACTATTTCTAACATAGGCTATCTAAAATTGGCTAAATTTAATTTCACAACTGATGCATGGAGGAAATCCAGTCAGATGTTATTAATTAACAACAGACAATCAAATAATAAATGAAGAGTAAAATTAATTCAACCATTATCAGGATTAAAATGTTAAAAAGAAACAAAATAAACAATCACTAAGTAAAATATCATTAAAGGAGTATAATATTCTTACCTAAAGATAAGTAAGTTGTTTGAGAGATCTCTCTTTGAAAAGACAGGTTGTGAGTCCAAAGGATAGACGGACGTGTATAGATATTAATCTCCCAATTATACAGTTCCTCATAAAAGATAAGTTCCTTCATATATATATAGCATCGAAGCACCAAACATGTAGTTTTCACACTCTGAGGTGTCTGCCTGCGAGATGTTTAGCTTAGATATAACATTTATTTAACACTTCATTCTGAGAAATTCGAGCCTTTGTGCTCTATCATTTCCCCTCATCTAAATCACTAATAAAATTCCCCCTAAGTCAAGCTACATTTGAGGCATAAAGATTAGTAAATCATCTACAGGACAATCTGGATCCTATTAAAATATTTATGTACACAATGTTAATATTTTACATTGTAATCTTTTAATGTTTAATATTTCTGTGTGTGTGTGTGTGGACCCCCAAATTCCTGACACGCTCTTTAAATAACAAAGAAATCCAAAAGAAAAGTTTGTGTTTACATAATATATGTGTGTGTAGTGTGTATAATTAATTTGTATATATAAATACCCACACATGCATGTATATATTTAAGAAATATGTGCATGAATATATTTTATATATATATATTTGATATATTAATAACACATTTTTCTTAAATATATACAATACATGCTTCTCACCCCATCATATCATATATATAAGGGATCGCCCAGCCACCCTGCGGAGAAAGCTCATTTTGGCCGTCTGTATCTGGGATCTTGTCCTTTCGGTCATGACCCAAAGCTCATGACCATAGGTGAGAGTAGGAACGTAGATTGACCGGTAAATCGAGAGCTTTGCCGTACGGCTCAGCTCCTTCTTCACCACAACAGACCGGTACATCGACCGCCAGTGTTGGGTTTAACTAATTACTAAGTAATTAGTTACTGTAATGTAATTACTTTTCCCTTGAAAATGTAAAGTAAGGGATTACTCTTCATTTACCTGTAACTTAATTACAGTTACTACTTCTGATGTAGTTGAGGTAAATATTGTGTATGGATCAATCCGATCTCACAGCGATTCGTATGCATTTTATGAGGTGTCTAAATATTACGACCGCACTCGTACTGAATTATTGTAAAATATGTATGAAAAAAGTGTGAAATGTCATGAGATCAGACATAAACCAATAGTGGGTTTAACATCAAAATGTATTGTCTGATGCTAAAAAGTATGTTTTTATAATGTAACCTTCTCCACCTTGGTCAGTTTAAGGATAATTCATGCAATTTTTTTTTAGTATTTATTTGAAAGAATTAAAACAGATTTGTGTATCCTTGTATTATTCAGCTGGGATTTTGAAAGTAATTAGTAATTAAAAGTAATTAAATACTTTTTAGAGAGAGTAATTAGTGCAGTAATCTAATTACACTGTTAAAGAGGTAATTAGTAACTAGGAATTAATTACTTTTTTAAAGTAACTTACCCAACACTGTCGACCGCATTGCTGCAGAAGCTGCACCGATCCGTCTGTCAATCTCCCGTTCCATCCTACCCTCACTCGTGAACAAAACCCCAAGATACTTAAACTCCTCCACTTGAGGAAGGATTTCTCCACCAACCTGAAGTGAGCAGGCCACCCTTTTCGGGCTGAGGACCATGGCCTTGGATTTGGAGGTGCTGATTTTCATCCCAGCCGCTTCACACTCGGCTGCAAACCGTCAGTGCATGCTGAAGGTCCTGGTGTGAAGGGGCCAACACGACAACATCATCCGCAAAGAGCAGAGACGAAATCGTGTGGTCCCCAAACCTGACACCCTCCGGCCCCTGGCTGCGCCTAGAAATTCTGTCCATAAAAATTATGAACAGAACCGGCGACAAAGGGCAGCCCTGCCGGAGTCCAACATGCACCGGGAAGAAGTCTGACTTACTACCGGCAATGCGAACCAAGCTCCTGCTTCGAGCTCGCCCTTAGCAAAGGACCCCGGACCCCATATTCCCGGAGCACCCTCCACAGACCGCCTCGGGGGACACAGTCGAATGCCTTCTCCAAATCCACAAAACACATGTGGACTGGTTGGGCAAACTCCCATGAACCCTCCAGCACCCTATAGAGAGTATAGAGCTGGTCCAGTGTTCCACGGCCCGGACGAAAACCGCACTGTTCCTCCTGAATCCGACGTTCCACTATCGGCCGTATTCTCCTCTCCAGTACCCTGGCATAGACTTTCCCAGTGAGGCTGAGAATTGTGATCCCACCCTATAGTTGGAACACACCCTCCGGTCCTCCTTCTTAAAAAGAGGAACCACCACCCCGGTCTGCCATCCCAGAGGCACTGTCCCCGACCGCCACGCGATGCTGCAGAGGCGTGTCAACCAAGACAGCCCCACAGCATCCAGAGACTTGAGGTATTCAGGGCGGATCTCATCCACCCCCGGTGCCTTGCCACCGAGGAGTTTCTTGCAGTGTTGTAGTCGAGACCACCTCACTCGAGTCCGAGTCGAGGCTGAGACCAGAGAGAGTCGAGTCCGAGTCGAGTCCGAGTCCATAGAGAGTCGAGTCTGAGTCGAGGCCGAGACCAGAGAGAGTCGAGTCCGAGTCGAGGCTGAGACCAGAGAGAGTCGAGTCCGAGTCGAGTCCGAGTCCATAGAGAGTCGAGTCTGAGTCGAGGCCGAGACCAGAGAGAGTCGAGTCCGAGTCGACACCGAGTCCATAAAGAGTCGAGTCCGAGTCGAGTCCGAGACTAGAGACGGTCGAGTCCGAGTCGAGACCGAGACCAGTGAGGTCAACCCTAATTTACTTTTAAATTTACTTAGAGTTTAAGAAATATGATCAGTTTAGGGTAAAAAGGCCACATAGTAGGTGGTGTTAAAAGTAATTTTATTACAATTTGTCATGCGCAGTTGCGCACTAGAAAATCACCAATCACTGGGCGTGTCAATCAATTTAAAGAAATATTTTATTAACATACATTAATAATCATGAAAAATATTTTTGAATTGAACTCGAGTGGACTCGAGAATAAATCCGAGTCCTAAAAAAAAATAATGTTCGAGTACGAGTCAATTCCGAGTCCAAATGGACACGAGTCCATGACAAGACCAAGACCATTAAAATATGGTCTCGAGACCGAGTCCGAGACGAGTCCGAGTCTCGAGTACTACAACACTGGTTTCTTGACTACCTCGGTGACCTCAGCAAGGGTGATGGACGAGTCCACCTCTGTGCATGGAGTCTGTCCATGCAAATATTTAATTTTACTCGTCTTAACTCAAAGCATGATCTTACTTTTTCCACGGTATAGCTATGACCTATTGTATGTAGGTACGATATATCATTTTGACTTTTCTTGTATCCCCCAAACTATCCTTATTCATTGTGGAAGCACACAAGGGGAGAGCTGATGATACTATAGCAGAAAGCATGCCCCTTTGACCTCTTCGATTCAAACACAGTGCTCTCTAGCGCCGCGCTTTTTGAAATGCGTGTTGCGACTACGGTGACCGTAATGTGCCGAGAAGCTACGACATGTCATCCAATAGCACTTTTTTGAGTTTAATAGACATTCTACCGTTACGCCGCCTATATAATGAATTACACAACCTTGTAATTTAGACCGTGACATTGACTTACCTGTCGAGAAGAAAGCAGGACTTCAGCGTCCCTTTCAAAGTCTTTCTCCTTCATTAGCTCTATCCACCTGGGAAAACCCATCCCGATATTTACCCTCATTTTGAATTTGCCAGTCACGTTTCCTTTTAGATTCAATTTTTAAAGGTTTAGTTCACCCAAAAATGAAAATTCTGTCAGTATTTACTCACCCTCACGTTGTTCCAACCCCGTAAGACCTTCGTTCATCTTCGCAACACAAATTAAGATATTTAAGATATTAAGATCGCTCCTGCATACTAGTCCATAGGCTTCTTGAGGGAATGACTCTTGCTGGCATCGAAAAGTCATTAAAGACATCGTTAAAATAGTCCAAGTGACTACAGGGGCTCAATCTTAAGTTTATCAAACGACGAGAACACTTTTGTGCGCAAAAAAACAACAAAAATAACGACTTTATTTCAACTATTGGTTTATTTCTCCCTCTGTGCAAGTCAGGTTACTAGTTTAATAGCGTAAGCTTCTGTTATTGTACGTCACACGCATCACACACATGACCAGCGTCGGCCAATAGTGAGCCTACGTGTGACGTAGCTTTACGCAATCACACTACGTTAACTGACTACAGGCCCATGGAGAAGGAAGTGAATAGTTGAAATAGAGTTGTTATTTTTGTTGTTTTTTTGCGCACAAAAGTGTTCTCGTCGTTTGATAAACTTAAGATTGAGCCCCTGTAGTCACTTGGACTATTTTAACGATGTCTTTAATGACTTTTCGATGCCAGCAAGAGTCATTCCCTCAAGAAGCCTATGGACTAGTATGCAGGAGCGATCTTAATATCTTAAATATCTTAATTTGTGTTGCGAAGATGAACGAAGGTCTTACAGGGTTGAAACAACATGAAGGTGAGTAAATACTGACAGAATTTTCATTTTTGGGTGAACTAACCCTTTAAGCTTTATCATACGAGGATTGCATTATGAAGCACCGTGCAGTGCGGCCTTTCAAGCCCCTCTCACTGACCTCCTTGGTCACTTCAGATGGTTTCAGTCAGCCGGTTCTGAATGAAAATAGTGCTTTTTTTGTGTACTTCTTCGTTATTATAGTTTTTCAAGATGGCTGGACGACATGGAGGCCTCCATGGACTCACCCGTCAGATCATTGTCAGAGCTAATTTTACACCAACGAGATCATATTTATGAATAAAGACATTGATTTTAGCTATAAGAATACTTTTTAAAATATAATGTACCTTGAATTTCAGGTGTGTAAAACTTTAAATTTTACTGTTACATTTTTTAACCGAGTCAATCTACACGTGAGAGATCTTCAGAAGTCATAACTTCAGGGGTCGTTGGGGATCCAGAGAATATTAAATTACCCTTAAAACCAAAGATTAAGTTTAATGACACTTGTTTTTGCAATGTCACTTTTTAAAGGATAATCTTACTTTAATGTTTGAACAAAAAATGTAAAAGTGCTTCTTCATATTTGCTGTGTTCTGCTGCAAGGCCATAAACTGGTTCCTTTTGTTTTTATAAATTGACTTTTCTAATTTCTACAAATATCAGCCTGATAAATGGACTTAATACACAATGAAACAAGATAATCATGCTACGAAATACGTCTGACACAATGTTTTTAAGAAAAGTATTGTTTTTAAAACTTAACTAAACCATGATAACCGATTCTTTCTTTTGACAGACCTAGAGAAATGCATGTTTATTACTAAGTTTCAGGCATAGTGCAACCATGCAATGATTGAGAAAGCTATATTGGTGTAATATTTGTTCAGCCTCACCCTCACGCTGATCCAGGCATAGCTTTACTAAACGGAAATATCATGGAAGTCGAAATATCAAACTTTGTTCAAAAATTGTTCTCTGACCCGAAAATAATCAGATAATGGAATGTTCACAAACTACAATTAGATATTCTCCTGCTTAGTATGTGTGTAATTAGTTGGGCTTAAATCTTTGGATGTATTTTGTCACACCATAGCGATTTTGTAAATCCTGTGGGCTAACTTTAAAACATATTCTTTATCACACGTGTCCAAAACAACCATGTAAGATTCAACAGACCAAATCACTAGGAAAAGTACTGTGTGTAATAATTCATACACAAAAGTTAACAAATTATGGTTTTATTACCATTCAGATAGCTAGTAGATGATACTGTTTCACATTTTGTATGTTGGACCGTATGTGTTTTAGGTGAAGTCAATATTCAGTGTTTATAAATGACCATTAAATATTTAAGTGATACTATTTCTGTTTGAGAACTAAATTGATACTTTGTTTAGTGCAACATTCTCTCTATCTACGACGGGAAATCACACATATTATTACGCATAGCATGTATAAACAAGTATTACTTAAACTATATGAGCCATGAATGAGAGGGGCATTTGCATTGTTTTTTCATAAGCAGTTTGTTTTATTCAACAATCTTTTATTTAAAATGAAATGCTTGGTTCAGTGGATAGTCTTTTTTTATTTTATATTATTTTTACAGAACAGATAAACTTCCACACTTTTTTCCTTATCACTTTCACAGCTGCAGCTCAGGGGAGGGGATGCGGTGACGTTCAAAAACACTCAAACAGACACTTTCTCTTATTGTTTCAAAAGCCACAGTTAAAACAAGCCATGATCAAGACTTGAAGGGGTCAATAAAAAACTAACTGTCAAATCCAATTTGATCCCTTTAATCTTATCTTTACAGTTAAAAACAACTGTTAAAATTGGTCAATAGGTCATAAAACTAACTGTCAAATCCAATTTAATCCCTTTAATCTTATCTTTACAGTTAAAAACAACTGTTAAAAATGATATTATCAAGGCTAGGAGGTTAATAGGTCATAAAACGAACTGTCAAACTTTGACCCAGATATCTCTCTTTTTATCTCATTTTGATTCTTTTTATCACCTCTTATCTCCTTTGCTGTCTATTCAGCCCTTTCATCCTATGCCGGGAAGGGGCGGGCCACCTGTCAATCAATCATCTTTTTGATATAAGGTGCCTAGTGTCCCTACTCCTGTTCTTCTGTTGTGGGAGATGCCCCAATAAAGGTTTGGGTGATAGGTGTTTATTGTTCTTTTGCTTGTGAATCTAAGGTTTTCCCTTTTCATGTTTGGTATCATTTTAAGTGTCTCAGTGCGATTAATTTCATTACAGTTATTGGAAATAGGAAAAAGATTGAGAACTTAGGAGAATCCTGTTCTCCTCCAGGGGTAATGTCTGTTTTCAATTCACGTGAAGAAATGTGTTTGTTTCGAGTTCAGGACACCTAAAACCCATTATATATCTATGAACCTAACCCTGATATAACCCAGTCAGATAACGTCACTTGTTGTCATTTATATATTTATTTATTTATTTATTTAATGTATTTATATAACACTATACTTTGTATTATATTACATTATTTTATTATATTATATACTTTATATTATATTAAAAAATAATTTAAAAAACAGTTAACGCTACTTGGATGTTCGCCAGCGTCATATGTGACGTCACGAAATGGGCGTGGCCGCGAACTGGTTTGCAGAAAGAACCAAAACATACGCAGCAGTCTATGTGTTCTGTCAGCAAAATGATAATTCTTTGTACGAAGAAGCTAAAATGAGATATAAGGTAAAGCTTTTATATAACCAGGGTTCATGTTCTCTGCCCGATCCATATCGCCTGTGTGAGAATTGGCCCGAAAAGCCTGAACACACGGTTAGATTTGACATTCGGCGACATCTACCTGTATCTCATCGACACGCCATCTATGTTTACCAGAGAGTCAATGAAGGCGTGCAAATCTTTTGATGCCTATAAGTCATGATTACGAATATTACTTGTGTTAACTGGATAACTGGTAAATTTGTTACAACTAGAGTAAAATAGAGGTGTAATTTATCCATGGGCTATATTCGTCAACATACGTAAAAATGTATCAAAGAAAATACAATAATTTGCCCTTAATCTATAAGGGTTTGTACACAGCTGATACACTGACAGTACAGTACCCAAATCTTTTGGTTAAATTATGACTTTATAATACTGTGCGGCAAAGGGCCATTACTTTTCTGCCAGCCAGAGCACATGTAACTGCGTCGTGACGTCACCGGCGAAGATCCCTATTAAGTTTACTAAGTAGTTGCAAGTTTATCACTTGCTATTTGAGCAAACAGGAACACAAAAAATACATTTAATGTAGTCTCTCTTTCACTTCTATAGAAGTTTACCCAAATAGTCTACAAATTATGCCATGGCATGAACAGCATAGCAATCTAAATTAACAAAACAATAAAGAAATAATTTAGATGCTTTTATATATTTTAGTTAACAAGAACAACAACAAAGCAAATTCAAGCAATGAGTAACGTTTTATTGTTAATCTTTGATTTTGGGGTGGTGGCGCAGTGGATAAGAAGTAACTTTCACTTAGAAGTTGCTTGTAAATTTATAAATAATTACAAAGAAAATGCAAGTACACTCATAAAAAAGAGTTTTCACTCAGAAATTAGACAATTAGAAAGAAACTATTCATGACATATCAGCCATCATATCGGTATTGGTCCTTTTTAATACTATCGTTATCGGCCCGATAAGAACATTTGTTCGATATATTGAAGCCGATAAATTACGTATTATTAACTGCAGCTGAGACACTTCAGATGGTTTTGAATTGCTTTAAATATGAAAATAGAAAATAGAGTTCAGTGCAAGTCTGTCAAATAGACTACATACAATTATAATGAGATCATCATTATGATTATGTGCTTGGGACATGGTGAGACTTTTGTTTTTGTAATCAGGCTCTTAAATATTATATAAATATATAATAAAACTTCAAATGCTTCTAATGCAGACAACTTTCCAGTAAATTTTACAAATACTTTCAAAGAAACTCCAAGTAACACATTGAATTGAATGTGACATTTTGAATTAAAAAACTACTCCGATAAGTATTTTTTCACGGTGCATTTTTAATGTTATATTTAACGATAGTGTTCTGCGTCGGATTCATCTTTACTTCTCGTCTCTATTGCCACTGGATGTGCTAATTGGCCATGAAGTGGTGGGAGGAGCCCGTTCGGCCTGGTATTTAAACGTTTTTTAATTAACATTCAGTTTCACGAATCTGCCTATTGCCCTGGAGACATCGCCATGGCAACGGTTGCCGAGGCTCAAATAGGCTGGTGATGATTTGCTTGGCGACCGCATTGTTGCGTGATGAGGTGTCAATCATCGCACCTGCGTGACGGGATCTTCCCCATGCGTTCCTTCTCGTGTGTGAATGTGTGTAAGTTTCAATCGCATGATGCCAGTGGCCTGTGGAGATTCCAGTCGGTGTAAACGGCCAGTAAAAGGGAACTGTGTGTGTTTGCCAGACGCCCAGCGGGGTAAAGCTTGAATCCATGGCTCTGCTCCAAACCCCAGTGTGCTGCCCACATAGGCCTCGTTTGCATGCTCATAAACACTGCAGCGTATGCCATCTTTCTTTGGCCTGTCCACTTCAGGTGGACGATCACGCAGTTTTCTTCCAGAAGCAAACTCTGTTGTATTAATTTCATGATATCACTGTGAAGCTGCTTTGATCTGTTTTGTATAAAGCGCTTTATAAAGCTGACTTGACTGGACTTGGCCGGGTTCATATCCAGTGTGGGAAAGTATTGAATTTGATTTTAGCAATTTACAGGTCTGGATATGTATAGAAAAAATATTAAAATATTTGTGTTTCCAGACTATTGCCACTATTTTTTTTTCATTCATTACACAAATAAATAATCTCATCTGCAAATTTTTACTAAAGCAAACATTATTAAATAGTTATTTACTTATTTTAGTAATCATCATAAATTCAAAAGCTTAAACACAACGTTTTGATATTGGAACTGCGTCTCCATGAAACCTTTTAGCGGCTCAGTTTTTGTGATATCAAATTAAAATTTCTAACACACCTTGGTATTTTCTTGCAATTTTACACTTCAAATTATTTTGTAACTGTGTGTATTTTGTATAAAATAAAAAGATTTAGTTTAGTCCAGTGAACTAAAACTTGTGAAAACACTTGAAGCTGCTTTCACTTAAAAAACATCTACTGAGCATCTTCTTTAAAAGGGAGACCAAACTTATAAGTTCAAAAAGAGGTGACTGGTTTTTAATAACAGCTTAAAAAATATATTTTTGTCAAGTATGTTTAAGTTAAAGTGTTTTCTCATCCATTCATGATTTAACAGTAATCTTTAAACTGTAGCTATTATAGTTGGGATTAGTCCAGGTCTTTATCGTGACACACACACACACACACACACACACACACACACACACACCTGTAGCCTAAGGCGTTGTGCAATGCCCCAGTTCTCTCTGAATATAAATAGCTCAAGCTTCCCACACACAGTGGGCGGATCAACAACTCATACAAGCCTTTTCCTCAACAGTACATCTCTTTCTAAGCTTCCGTCCATCGCGTCCAAACGTACAGTATGTGACCACAGCGATAATCTAAGGTTTTGAAGAATCTTACATGCTCTATATCTGCAGTTTCCAAGGGTGTTGCCGTTCCCAGGACCTATCATTTACAAAAGCTTTTATTCAGTGACCTATATCCATACAGTGTCTCCCATTGGAGTCATTTCTGGAAATCTAGTAGCGTGTGAAATGATATATGACAGCTTACTATAAGCTGGACCTGTAAGAAAGCATTATAGGACGAAGGTCAAGGTCACAGAAAACAACATGAATGTTGACAATCTCAGCACATACAGGTAAACCACAACATATCAAAGAATTTAAACCATAAAACACACTAAAGAGCATAAATAAAATAAGAACCTACTAGCAACATTAAAAAAGGACAAATTACATAATCTTTACAGAAATACATACAGCATTTAGATGCATTTTAATATTCTTGTGCAAAAAGGTACGTTCTAAGTGATCTCTGAGGAGAATATAAACTTAAACGTTCAGTTATATAAATCAGGGCCAAATTCCATTTAGAGCTTTAAACACATTAGTTAAAGCCTTGAAATCAGTTTTCTGTTTCACAGAGAGCGGCCAGAATGAAAACAGCCACATGTCTTTGTATAGATACAGTCGGTTGGTCTGGGAACGCCCCGTCACGTGGTGTGAATTTAGCCCGTAGGGGAAAACATTGCCTTGGCGCTCATTGAAATACATAGGACAATCATGCCGAAGAGTTGCTTTGTCGTTTTCTGTACCACCAATAAAATAACAAATTATAAATTGAAGTTCTACAGCCTTTCTTACATACATACAGAACCGGATAGGAGAACAAAATGGCTAAGTTAATCATATCTTATTAGATTACTGTGTGAGTAGATCCCTGTGTGATATAGTAGTAGATGTTTAACTCGTATTAGGCAGTGGTTACATCCCTTACGAAAAAGAACTATAGTAATCCTATGGCTATTAGTATTCTATAGGCCTAGTACTTCTGTGATGTTCTTTAATACCTCTATACTTCTAGGTTATATGTCTCAAAATACTGTAGTATTCATATAGGATTAACGTTACTATAATATTTTGTCCTAAAATACTACAAGGCAAGGCACTTTTATTTATAAAGCACGTTTAAAACAGCCACTGCTGACCAAAGTGCTGTACAGTCAGTTCAAAAAATATGAAATACATAAATACTCCAACCAACATAAACATAACATAAGCACATCATAAAGCGCATCATAAAATTACATTTGACCAAACGCCAAAGAGAAAAAATAAGTCTTTAGTGATGATTTAAAACTATCAACAGTGGGAGACAGCCTTACATGATCCGGCAAATCATTCCACAAACGTGGAGCAGCGACTGAAAAAGCACGATCCCCTTTTAATTTCAGTCTAGATCGTGGCATAGTAAGCATCAGGCTTGTTCGACTTCATGCAGCTCTGCGCAGACCGATCGTCGGCTGACTTGAAACAGTGCATGCCGGTTAGAAATTTTGTCCGACTTGATGCAGCGCTGACTCCACGTGACTGTGACATATGCCATCAAAGTACCGCGAGAGCGTTACGAGAGTAGCCGGAGGACTCAGCCAGCGCAGCTTCTCAAGAGCGGCTGCACGAGCTCTGATGATGTCACAGCTGTTCCACGATTCGCCGGATTCACCGCATGACAACGATCACGTGCGTTTCGTGTTTATTCTCACACGTTTAGTTCCACTAAAGCTCACAAATCAGTATTTTATAACAGTAAACACTCTTTTCATGTAGTCGCGATGTTATATTGTGTCATGTTTATCATGTTTATCAAAATAAAACTGATTAAAAAACGTTGATTCCACGTCATTGATTATAGGCTTATTTTGAACTTTATTCTAGTTCAAACAGATGCTGTATGAAGCAGTAAAGTATTGAATGAAAATGTGTCTGAAATATCTGTTTATTTGGCAAATGTTGCATTTATTTCACTTCAGCTGTGGTATAAGCATGCAAACACCACGTGAGCCGTCACTACGGGAACCAGAAATTGTCCGACTTCACGTCTCCGTTTGCAGCTCCTCCCCGCCTGCACGCGGCTGTTCTCGCCGATCGGTTGCATCCAGCCGCAGGCGATGTCGAACACACCTATCAACTTGTTTGATGACCTTCTAGAACACTTCCTGTGGAGAAGGTCCACAATGTATTGGGGCGCCTGACCATTTAACCCCTTAAACACATATAATAATACCTTGAACTTGACACGGTATTCGACTGGCAACCAGTGAAGCGAAGCAAGAACAGGCGAAATATGTTCCCTCTTTCGAGTACCAGTAAGAAGCCTGGCGGCAGCGTTTTGTACCATTTGTAGGCGGCATAAGGAAGACTTAGCCACCCCAAGGTAGGAGTTACAATAATCCAGCCTAGATGTAATGAAGGCATGGATCACTATCTCTAAATCTTTTACTGTTAAAAATGCTTTTAATTTCGCAATAGATCTCAAATAATAAAAGCTACTCATCACCACTGAGTTAATTTGTTTGTCAAATTTAAGACCGTTATCAAAAATCACCCCCAAATTCTTAGTATGAGCACAAGAGTTCCCTCTTAAAGGACCCAGTTGTTTTTCAATCTGTAAAGTAGAAGCTGGTGAGCCAAAAATTACAATTTCGGTTTTAGAACCATTCAGTGTTAAAAAATTAGCTGCCAGCCAGCCTCTTACCTCCTCAAGACAGTTCAACAAAGACCTAATGTCATAATTGTCCTTATTTCCTAAAGGGAGATAGACCTGAGTATCATCTGCATAAAAGTGATATGGAATATTATGCTTTTGAAAGATCGAGCCTAAGGGGAGCAAATACAAGGAAAACAACAGCGGGCCCAAAATAGACCCCTGAGGTACACCACAAGTTAATGGTGCAGAGGAGGAAGAAAAATTCCCAACCTCCACAGAAAATGTTCTACTACTACAAGTATTCCTTTAGTTGTTTTTCATAAGGGATGTTATTAGCGTTATTAGCTGAAGGTTATCAGACTGCAGTCTGTGAGAATTCGGATAACTGTCAGCAAAGTCCCTCTGGAACTTCGTAGCGACTACTAATGATCACCGTTTTACAAAAGGAGTTTGGAGTGAAGCATACGTACAATTGGTAAGTGACATGGTTTTATGGACTTATAGTAACTTGTACGCAAGTTGATTGAGTTACAGGCTTCCGCGATGTCTTACCTGGAGATTCAACCAGATATAATAGTCTGGAAACGACACCTCCGGCCATTTGGTTGGGTCATTGACCCAGTTTTTAATTAAATAAGGACAATAATAATCTATTAAAGTTCATTTTGCAATGTACCATTGCCGGTCGGCAGGCATAAATGACTCGCAATATGACATTTTTGTCATTCAAATACATAGGATGGTCGCGCTCCTATCCCCCACGCCGACCACGCCCCCCAACTATGACGCGTTGCCGACTGTATGTATGGTCTGATTAATAAACGAGTCCATCGTGCGGCAGCGCGAGTGTGTTTTGCTGGTGTCAGCCCTACGCAGTTATCATTTTCACGTCCATTGTTTAAATAGCAAATGCATTTGTGCCCGTCTGTGGCCCATGGGCTGCTGGTCTGAGAACGAGTGTGTGTCTTATTACACACACACACTCTGCTTATTACACACACTCACATTTCCTCTCTGGAGAAGCGTTCAGTCTTTCCGCTTTCAAATTCCGTCATGTGAATAGTGAATCCGCCATGGTGCGAGCGCAACTGGCTTTTAAAGGGGAGATGAGACTCAAAACACACACATTACTCATTAAGAGAACAGAGAAACCCCTTTAAGACCATGCGCGGGGAGCGTCGACCATTTTCCCCGTCGTTAATCTAGCAATAGTGGATTCGGACGCCCACAGGGCACTTTAGACCACACACTTAGATCGTTAAAATAGGGCTTATGATTTTCTTGTCATTGTGTTTGGAAACTGCAGCATCTGAACAGTGTCTGAGCTTGAGGCTGATTGCCGATACATTGGCAGTCGATCAGGAGTTGTGATTCTGCTGTGATGTGTGTGTGTGTGTGTGTCTCTCCTGTACAGCGTCCCTGTTGAAGCTCTGGTACCGAGAGCTGGAGGAGCCGGTGATTCCTCACGAGTTTTATGAGCAGTGTGTGATGAACTACGACAGTCCTGCGGCCGCGGTCAGCGTCGTCCTCAACCTCCCTCACATCAACAAACTGGTGCTCTGCTACCTCATCCGATTCCTACAGGTCTGTCTGTCTGTCTATCTGTCTATCTATCTATCTGTCTGTCTGTCTGTCTGTCTATCTGTCTGTCTGTCTGTCTGTCTGTCTGTCTGTCTGTCTGTCTATTTATCTATCTATGTATCTATCTATGTATCTATCTATCTATCTATCTATCTATCTATCTATCTATCTATCTATCTATCTATCTGTCTGTCTGTCTGTCTGTCTGTCTGTCTGTCTGTCTGTCTGTCTATCTGTCTGTCTGTCTGTCTGTCTGTCTGTCTATTTATCTATCTATGTATCTATCTATGTATCTATCTATCTGTCTGTCTATTTGTCTGTCTGTCTATCTGTCTATCTGTCTGTCTATCTATCTGTCTATCTGTCTGTCTATCTATCTATCTGTCTATCTGTCTATCTGTCTATCTGTCTATCTATCTATTTATCTGTCTATCTATCTGTATGTCTGTCTGTCTATCTATCTATCTATCTATCTATCTATCTATCTATCTCTCTCTCTCTATCTATCTATCTATCTATCTATCTATCTATCTATCTATCTATCTATCTATCTATCTATCTCTCTATCTATCTATCTATCTATCTATCTATCTATCTATCTATCTATCTATCTATCTATCTATCTATCTATCTAGCTATTTATTTATTTATTTATTTATTTATTTGGGTTGGTGCTTGTAATCATCTATATCACACTGCCAAACACACAATATTGATATTGATGCCCATTTCTGCCTCCAGGAGGCTATTGGTGAGAAACAAGTGAGACTACTGAGAGACAGACATGATGGAGGGAGAGATAACCCGGAGTGAATCTCATGAAGAAATGTCTGGGTCATATTTCACCACAAAATACAAAATATGAGAAATTATGCACAATATATATACAGTCAAACCAAACTTTATTCAGACACCTTCAACATTCCTCACATTATTTATTTGCTATAGAAAATGCTATTAAAGGAGTAGTTCACTTTTCAAAAAACTTTTGCTGATAATTTACTCGCCCCCATGTCATCCAAGATGTCCACGTCATTCTTTCTTCAGTCGAAAAGAAATTAAGGTTTTAATGAAAACATTCTAGGATTTTCTCCATATAATGGACTTCAATGGAGTCCAAATGAGAGTTTCAGTGCAGCTTCAAAGGGCTTTAAACGACACCAGAGTGACTCTCCTGTTCATCAAAATGAACGAATCTTTTTCTGAGTCGTTTGGTTCTTTCAACGAACGAAACGAATTAATTGACTCGGAAAAAGATTCGTTCATTTTGATGAACAGGAGAGTCATGAACGCTCATCACAGAACAGAGCAAGGTGAGCATTTTAGCTTATAAAACTTAAACTTTGTTATTTATTTAGTAAATGAGCGATCGTTTCGCTTGATAAGACCCTTATTCATCGTCTGGTGTCGTTTAAAGCTCTTTGAAGCTGCACTTAAACTGTCTTTTGGACCTTGAACCGTTTGGTCCCCATTGAAGTCCATTATATGGAGAAAATTTTGGAACGTTTTCATCAAAAACCTTAATTTCTTTTCGACTGAAGAAAGAAAGACGTGGACATCTTGGATGACATGGGGGTGAGTATTATCAGCAAAAGTTTTTTAAAAGTGAACTACTCCTTTAAAACATGTGACTGGTTTTGTCCGTCCTTCTGTTGGACTCTCACACATGAATTATGTTGAATATCTGTTAAAGTTAACTCCACAATTAGATAATACCAGTTTCGCTCAACCAGTGACCAAGCAACGCTTCATGTAGTTCAGTGTGTGTGTAAAAATAGCATTAGCAATCACAGAAAACACTTGATCAGGTCAAAGTGTCTGAATAAATGTTGCTCCCACATTCACTGTATGAGGATTTTTTGGGTATAATACAGTATATTTAATATAACACTGGCCCTAAAAATAAACTTCATTTTCTTTATGCAAAACATTATTTATAAATATACAGTAGTTTTGAGGTGAAATATGAGTATGACAGAAGATGTTTGGCTTCTCCACATTTCTGCACACCCTGATCTGTCATGGTCACATGATCACGTCCTCATCTGTACAGAACAATGTGTAAAAAAAATGCAAATAAAAAGGTAAAACGACAGAAAATAGTAATTACGACTTCAGTATTTGACACCAGGAGCAGTTAATATTCACTTTTAGGTTTGGATCTCATCCGTTAGCAAAACTTAGATTTAAAATAATAATAATAATGATGATGATGAAAAGCAGATATGGTATGAAATATGATTATATGTCTGAAATGAAATGTTGAAGGAAAGAAAACGCGTGACCTGAGAGCAGCACATACACAAACGCACAGGATTCTGGGAGATTGTGCTGAATGCAGATATGTTTCTCGTCACAGGTTTACTGTATTTCTGAGTCGTGTTAATAAACCTCTCTCTCTCTCCGTTTGCTCTGAGGTCAAAGGTCACTCTGGACGTCACGGTTGAGCTGAACGTTGTTTATTAAACAGTTCAAAGAATTCATTGAGTTGTGTGATCATTTCTGTAATGCTTTTAATACACACACACACACACACACTCACACAGACACACACTCTCACAAACTCACACACACCAGACACTATTCAAAATAACATTAAAATACACAGTGACGTTAACAACTGAATATTGGTTGCAGGAATCTAAATATGGAATACATTGAATAATACTTTTACCTACATTATTAACATTAAACAATTATATAGGCTAATGTGTATCCTTGGAAATTGAAGACATAATACGAATAGAAACAACAATAAATAAAGCATTACTGTTAATAAACAAAACAAATACATATAAAGAGGGATAGAGGGTACATAAACAGTATAGAAATTATACATGTATTACGATGTAAACATAATTTAAGATATGGATGTACGACTTGAAAAGCCCTTGCCATGTTTCAAAATAAAGTTGCATTTCGTTCCGGAGAGAGACATAAAACTCTAGAGTTTCAATGACGTCAAGGCTATGATGTGATTGGTTTGTAAGGCACACGTGATCCAGGCGGACCTTTATGGTTATCCATAAGATCTCTGTAGACATATCTAGACTGTTCACTCGGATTAATATGGATGCGAAAAACGGCAACGCGGAATAATTATGAATAAAAGAGCAAATCGCCAAATGGTAAGTGAATCGCGTTTGGAGCTGCGCATGCGCATCGCCTCTCGACCAAACCGGAAACGATTTACCGTTATATGAGCATAGGAAACATGTGAAGAAAAGAGTACAGCTGATATTCTGGTTATTCCAGATTCCAGACAAATACGAGTTGATTTTGCAATTTGCATGAGAAAAATACCTGCCCGGAAGCGATGGAAATATGGCCAGCGAGTGAACTGACTTTCCTCGAAAACGACTTGGATTAACTTAAGTTACAGTGACGCTAGAGATGGCAAATCATTAGTTTCATCAGTTATTAATATAATACACGATTAAACAGTCATTCACTCGATGTCACGGTATGCTCGTTTTTACAGCTGTTTAATCACGTGAAAATAATCTTTCAATATTATCTGAGAGTTAAGTTAACATTAATTCATTGAGTGTTGATATGATTATGTTCATTATTATTATAAAGTGTGTTTTGTGGTCATGTGTTCATGTATGACACCTCATCAGTTATGTGTTGTCATATTGAAATAAAGGAAGTATCACAGGTTAAAAGATTAAAATGATCTCATGTGAATGTGACTTTCCTCATTCATTCATACACAATCAGAGGTGTATTAAATATCCTGGCTTTTTATAACACTTTTTAAAAAAGGGAATAGATATAAAGAAGTACCTCTCTATTACCATTAAACATTCCATTCCTCATTTTTCTACTCTACTATGACAGATATTTTGTGCATATGTGCTTATTATGATAACTGGTGGAGTATAGATAGATAGATAGATAGATAGATAGATAGATAGATAGATAGATAGAGTTGTTATTTCTAATCAGACCTCATCTCTCTCTCTCTTTCAGATGGACGGGCCGATGCGTGTGTTGGTGACGGGTGGCAGTGGGCTGGTGGGACGAGCGATAGAGCGAGTGGTGAAAGAGGGCGAAGGGAGAGAAGGAGAAGAATGGATATTCCTCTCATCCAAAGATGCCAATCTCATGTAAGAAATCCTGAACAAACACTCATGAGACGCCACACCAGTTAAACAACACAATCATTACAATATCATATCAGTGGGTGTATTAACATACTTTTTAAAAAGTAACTCAGATATTTTGTTGTAAATCTTTAATGTAATGCGTTACTTGTTACTTGAAAAAGTAATCTGATTCAGAATACATTTCTGAAATACATAACTTAGACAGTTCCCTCTGATAATAACAGATCACTCTAGATTGTAATGCACACTTTCTGTAAAGATGCTTTGAAAAAAGGCCTATACAAATAAATGTGAGTTGAATGTGTGTTCAACACGCAAATACAATCTTTCCAACATGACTTGAACGCAGTTAGCCAAGCTCACCCTTACGAAAAAGAAGTATATTTCAAGTTTATTTAATGTAGTATACTTAAATAATGTTCAAGTATATTTTTAAGTATACATTATACTAATGTCACTATGTACTAGTAGTAAACTTGTAAGTGTACTATTTTAATACCGCTTGGGACTAAATTGGCCCACTTTTAGTACATAGAAGTATATGTTTAAGTGTACTATAAGTGTAACAGTAAGTGCACAACTAGTTCATAATTATGTATCTCATGTGGACTGCAAGTGAATTTATGGGTATACTAGTAGTTTACTTTTTTACTGTAATACTTGGAATACTTAATTATACTTTTAAGTATTTCTGGATCAAAAGATTGAGTACAAGAACAGGACAAATATACTTGCTTTTCTCTCAGTATAAGTCAAGTACACTTAAGTGTAATTTGAAGTATACTTCTAAGAAGTACAGGAAAAATAAACTGAAAGTATACTTTCTTATTTTTAGTTTAAAAGAAGTATACTAATGGCACACTTGAATAAACTTCTTTTTCGTAAGGGCATGCTTATTTGCATATTGTCATGCTCATGAAATCGAAATATTTGCCACAAATAGTAAATTGCCAATATGTAAATAATTCTTGTTGCTTATTGTCCATTTGTCTCATGCTAACTGGCGTTTCAGGAGCGCCGAGGAGACGAGATCAGTCTTCCAGAAGCATCGTCCGACACACGTCATTCATTTGGCCGCCATGGTGGGCGGGCTCTTCAGAAACATGAGACAGAACCTGGACTTCTGGGTAATTATAACATTGGACATGTTGGTCTTTGGATCACAAAACCAGTCACATGTCGCCCAGGTATATTTGTGGCCATCGATTTTTATTTTATGCCAAAAATCATCAGTATATTAAGTAAAGATCACGTTCCATTAAGATATTTTGTTAATTTACTACCGTAAATATATCAGATTTATTTTTGTGAGTGGATGCAGAAACATCGAGGACTTCATTCGGAAAACTTCAAAGGCGATTTTCTCAATATTTAGATTTTCAAATAGTTGCACTATTTGCTTTCATATGATATATGAATCTCAATTTCAAAAAAATGTACCCTTATGACTGGTTTTGTGGTCGAGGGTCACAGACGGTATGTAATAAAAGCTGTTGAATGAGTTGGACTGTACATTGACTGTATTTGTTGTTTTCAGAGGAATAATGTATTTGTCAATGACAACGTGCTGCAGACGGCTCATGAGTTCGGGGTGGTGAAGGTCGTTTCTTGTCTGTCTACGTGTGTATTCCCTGATAAAACCACCTACCCGATAGATGAGACCATGGTAATCTCTCTCTCAGACACACACACACACACACACACACACACACATTAATAGGCAGATGGTTTGTATTTAGCATTCTTGTAACATAATACATGTTCCTTCTATGATTCATTGTCGTATAAAAACACACTGTAACTTTGATAACTCAGACTTCCTCTGCAGAATCATATGTTCTTCAAGGTCATCCACTCCAATTGCGTTATGATTTGAGGGAGAGGATGATTGGACACTTTTTGTTTGGTATTGTCTATCCACACAGACGTGTTTCTCTCTCGCTCCGTTTCAGATCCATAACGGTCCGCCACATGAGTCTAATTTCGGTTATGCCTACGCCAAACGCATGATTGATGTCCACAACAGGTCAGTGTCAAAGTTCATAGGTCATGAGTTTTCAGTTACATCTAAAAAAAAAAAAAAAAAAAAATTTCCCTGGCTTTTCATATCATCAAATGAGATTTAAACATTACCGTAGTTCATGGTTATTTTTCTTTATTTAATTTTTGTGTGTAATTTTCTATTCTAATTGGTGAATTTCATTAAATACCAATTACTGTTGTTATTATCCACTGAACATGGCGCAAAACACGAAACAAGACCATGACATGACGATTACAGTGAAACAAAAGACACATGGCAAACATGAGGGCTTAAATACACACGACCAAACGATTAACCAATGACAAGACACAGAAACATGACATGAAACGTGACCAAGACAAGACCAAATCATGACAACTATGATACAAATTATTATAATAATCATCATAAATTAAATGCAGCACAATAAAAATCATGTTTAATGTACATTTAGCAAACATTTAAAATATATATGTATGACAACAATGACAATTTGTGAGGAATGTGTGTAATTGTCATGAAAATAAGGTACGTATTATTAATATGAGAGTGTTTGTTTTGTATGATTGTCCATCAGAGCGTGTTTTCAGCAGTACGGTCAGAGATACACAGCCGTCATCCCCACCAATGTGTTTGGACCCCATGACAACTTCAACATTGAGGACGGTCACGTGCTTCCAGGATTGATCCACAAGACATACCTTGCAAAGAGTGAGACGCTTTTAACTTCCTGCAAGCACAGCTGCTAATCATGACATCACCTGATTTATAGCATCAAATAACTGACTAAAACCAAACTAATTGGAGAAACAGTGTGATGAGAAGAACCCAAAATGACAGAAATCATCTTTAACCCTTTACCTGTCACCCCCCTTTTTGATAATTGACATTAAAATGCACTATACAAACTTAAATGGTTGTAATTCAAGAATGCTATGGAAGACCTATATAGACCTATAACTTATATAGACCTAAGTTTGGTCTTGTTGTAAAGAAAACAATCAGCAGATTATTACTAAAGTGAAAAATTGCTCAAAAAATACTAAAAAGTATGAAAAAGTTATAATTAGAAAGATTAGAAAAGGTTTTCATAATAAATTATGAAAGATGATGCCCAAAAGGGAGGTGCCTAATAAAAAAAATACAGTTTCTATGGTAACGCAACGTCCAATTTCAAAACGGTTTTCACAGGATGAATTCTGAGTTTGTAAGCTTTTAAATGATACCTAATTTATGATGACTACTAAAATATGTTATATAATAATAATAAAAAAATTATATTTATATATATAATATATTATACTTTTTAGAGGACTTCTTACCTTACTTTTTAAAATATAATTTTATTGAATTGACAAATACTAATTATGTTTTATTATGAACTTTTAGCGCTAAAAACCAAAGTTTCAATTATTAAAAGTGTCTGCGTCGACTTTTTGTGACAAAAGGTCAGAAACTCCTGTAATGACGTTGATTTTTTTGTGGCGCACTCTTGTCATAAATTCATATATTACTGTTCATTCATAATTTGTAAGAAAAAAACAGACCTAAAATATCTATTTGGGAGGCTTAGACCTTTCCAATGATATATAGTTTGTTGTGACTAGATTAGGATTTAATCGTAATATAGTGAAGTAAAGTTAGCTTGCCCGTATATGGGCAAGTGACAGTTAAGGGGTTAAGATATAATTAGATTTTTTTGTGACCCATTCTGAGAGGGCGAGGTTTATAACCTATGTTGCAGGAAGCCACCAGGGGGCGTAACTTTTCTGTGATCTAGAGCCTCATTCAAGCCGAGTTCTGAACGCAAGTTAATCGTGTTTTGTGTGTTTTGTAGAGGAAGGTCAACCTCTGCAGGTCTGGGGTTCAGGTCGTCCTCTACGGCAGTTCATCTACTCTCTGGATCTGGCTCGTCTGTTTCTGTGGGTTTTAAGGGAGTATGACGAGGTGGAGCCTATCATTCTGTCAGGTACTGTTTCCCTTACAAATTCAGTTTGGTCAAATTTAAAGGGTTAGCTAATGGTCATGAGCGTAGGCCCACTATTGGCCAGGATCAACCAATAGTGAGCTTATATTAATGCCAAAATTAAACACCAAATCTAAAATCATTTTTGCTGATTCGTATGGTTGAAGTGGATCATGGAAGGTCAACAGCAAAGACATTGGTTGATAAAGAGATTAAATACAAAGTATATTTGTGTTATTTACATATTTATTATTTGTAGGGTTGCATTTGCCTGTTTTCATTCATTTATACGCTGAGTTTCGAGACATTTTTATGACGCGCTCCAAAAAAAAAGGAAACTGAATGTGGCAGAAAGTGGCATCCCGTTCGTGTTTTTTATTTTACAAAACACAATATTTCGTTTCTATTGTGAGTGTACACAAATAACAAAAACACCATAAAACAAACACCGTAAATGATGAAGTATTTTATAATCAAACAATCATTTGTGTCATTTCTTTTTCATCTTGATGTGATTTTCTGAAATATCGCGATGTTGAACTTTTTGTATCCGCCATTGTCACCGCATGTTAACCTCTTAAAGGGATAGTTCACCCAAACATGACTAGATTGAAACTTGAAAGTTATTTCAAGTTATTTTAATTGAAACTTGAAAGTTATTAAAGACTATTTGACTATTTTAACGATGTCTTTAATAACTTTCTGTTCCGGCAAGTTTCGATTACAATAGAAGCCTATGGAGGAGTGAGACAGCTCTCAGATTTAATCACAAATATCCGAAGATGAAGGGCGATGAACAACACGAGGGCGAGTCAATACTGACAGAGTTCACATGTTTGGGTGAACTATCGAACTCTCACGTGCAAAGAAAATGACAGCACAGGCTAGCCTACGCAGAAAACGTTAATCAAACAGCGTTGCATTTTACACACAGCATTGGACAGAGTAAATCAACAATTTATTATTTTTTATTATCGTAAGCACTCAGCAATCTGGGGGTGGATGTGTAAATGACTGAACTCGTATCGAACCGTGACCCAGAATCCGAGGTACTTACCGAACCCTGACATCTGTGAACAAAACATATCTTTGGGACCTTTTAAACTCGCTGTTAACTTGCTTTGCATTTTAATATGTGAGCCAGACTGTTTAATCAAGTCAATTTGTTTGTCTGTTTTCCTCTCTAGTCGGAGAGGAGGATGAGTTGTCCATAAAGGATGCTGTGGACGCTGTGGTTGAAGCGATGGGTTTCAAAGGTGACGTGATTGTATCCTTTCACACACAATTACTGTGAAAATCTGCAGTTTTTATAAAATAGAAATATATAGTTTGGAGACTTTACTGATTGTTCTTGAGCTGTTGTTTTGAGCTTCAAAATGTATTATAAAAAGAGTCCTTAATTCACTTTTAAAAAAACTTTTGCTGATAATTTACTCACCCCCATGTCATCCAAGATGTCCACGTCTTTCTTTCTTCAGTCGAAAAGAAATGAAGGTTTTTGATGAAAACATTCCAGGATTTTTCTCCATATAATGGACTTCAATGGGGTCCAAACGGTTCAAGCTCTAAAAGAGAGTTTCAGTACAAACTGCAAACTGTTCAAAGGGCTTTAAACCTTTCCAGACGATGAATAAGGGTCTTATCAAGTGAAACGATCACTCATTTAAAAAAAAAAAAAATGAAAAAAACCCCCTAAGTTTTAGTTTTATGAGCTCAAATGCTCGCCTTGCTCTGTTCTGTGATGCGCGTTCGTGACTCTCCTGTTCGAACTCGTTCATCAAAATGAACAAATCTTTTTCCGAGTCAATTCGCTCATTTCGTTCGTTGAATGAACCAAATGACTCGAAAAAAGATTCGTTCATTTTGATCAACAAGTTCGAACAGGAGAGTCACACAGAACAGAGCAAGGCGACCATTTGTGCTTATGAAACTTAAACTTTATTATTTATTTATTAAATGAGCGATCGTTTCGCTTGATAAGACCCTTATTCATCGTCTGGAATCGTTTAAAGCCCTTTGAACACTTTGCAGTTTGCACTGAAACTGTCTTTTGGACCTTGAACCGTTTGGACCCCATTGAAGTCCATTATATGGAGAAAAATCCTGGAATGTTTTCAGCAAAAACCTTAATTTCGTTTTTACTGAAGAAAGAAAGACGTGGACATCTTGGATGACATGGGGGTGAGTAAATTATCAGCAAAAGTTTTTTAAAAAGTGAACTACTCCTTTATATTACAGAGTTGTCCTTTTGGCATGAACTACCTTTTATCCACAACCCTTAACTATCCGCTCTCAGTATGACACAAGTAAAGCAGACGGTCAATTCAAGAAGACCGCCAGTAACGCCAAACTACGCAAATACCTGCCAGACTTCAAGTTCACACCGTTCAAAGCAGGTGATCAATCTTCACTTCTCGCTAAATGTTCTTCAATAGTAGTCATTAAAAGTGCTTTTATTTTTTCCAGCTATGAAGGAGACGTGCGATTGGTTTGTGGCCAATTATGACATCGCCCGTAAATGAAGATTCTCATTGGCCGAGGTTCTGGATTTCATAGTAGCTTTCATTGGCCAAGGACCAGAGGCCGTCCGACTGAAGTGTAAAACAAGCGATCACAGTCCGTTTTGTTCAGCATCACGTTTAGGGACGTGAAAACTTATCATAATTTTTTAAAACACAGTATTTAGTTGATCATAACAAGCGTTTATTGTTACAGTTGTAAATACTTCGGCTTTCTGTATTGGTACGATGACACACATCTGGTGTCTGGTAGACTTTGAAACTCCAGTTTTGTGTTACATATGCATTAGGGTGCTTTCGCATCTTTAGTTCGGTTCATTTGGTCCAGACCGAGGGCGAAAGATGATTTGGGTTCCTTTTCACGCCACACTGATTGCTCTGGTCACGTGACAACATCCACATCACTCTTTGGCCAGATGTGTCTTGAACATATTTCCATAACTGCACTCCGATTGGTCAGTATTAACGTGCGGGAAAATGCCAACAGAACTAAACACAGAAGAGTCTGCCTCAAACTAAGACTATATTTAGGGAGTTCAATGCTGGACACCACTGATCAAACACCTTGAACAACCCGTAATCGTTTTTATGAAACAAAATCATTGAACACTGCTTTTGTTGTTTTTCTTAAAGACGTACATTTTACAGTTCTGCAGTGACTAAAACTTTTCAAATGCATTTATTAAATGCATGTACTGCTTCCTTTCCCTATGGAAGCTTTTTTCTGCCACAGAATAATCAAGAAAAAAGGTAATTGTGATTTTTTTTTTTATCTCACAATACTGACTTTTTTTTCTCACAATTGTGATATAAACTCACAATTGCATAATATAAAGTCAGAATTGAGTTATATAAACTCACAATTGAGTGTTACAAAGTCAGTATTACATGTTATTGAGTCACAAAAGAGAGATATGAACTCGCAATTGCGTGTTACAAAGTCAGTATTACATGTTATAAAAGACAATTGAGTGATCTCAACTCACAATTGTGTGTTAAAACGTCGGGAATCCTTTCACATCTTGGCAAATGATCGGCCAAACTTGCAAAAATGACAACTGAAGTAGGCTACATAGAGTTGTTCATTTAATAATAATATGATTTTGGGCTTTAATCGTGCGTCCCTACATACAATAATAATAAACATGCAGCTCTTTAATCTTTGGATTAATCTTTTTAATCTTTTGTCTTTGGATGATCACATCCCTGGTTTTATTTGTTTGTTTGCTGCTGTACATTTCCCTCTGTTTTTACTGGTTTAGCAGGGGATGTTCTGGGTTGATTTTGTAATGTACTGTAATAAAACTAAATTATGTTTATTGTGCTTTTCTATAAAAAGGATTTTTGGATTGTTTTAATGGTTCCCAATCCTGGAGGGATGGTATTATCATAAAGTGACTTGGCATCTGACGCACAGTCTTCATTGGCATGTGCCACTGACACTGACACACACTAATAAGCAGACTTTAAGTAGCCTAGGTGCAGTTGCACGGTGTTTATATTAAGTACATACATGTGTAAATGTATTTGTAGTATACTTAGCATAAAATAAATGTATTTCAAATATATTTTAGTATATTTATTTTTTAGTAGGGTACACAGGAACACACGGGCAGGATCTGCTACCAAGCCCGCCCACGAAACAACTCTGCTAATGCTATGCTAACTCTGAGGGGTAAGTTAAGGCCCACTTGTTTTACAAACACGCCCTCTAATGGTCACAGTCCCAAATAACATTATTCTTTCTGAGTTCAGGCTGCCACTCCACATGTGGACTCGACACCGTCCTAAACTCTGGTGTAATTCAACTTGTCTGCTGTACAACAATATTTGAAGGTACAGAACCTTCTGTGTCAAACAACACAAATTTTTCAGTCCGTCTTCATCTGGGGGTGAGTTTCCCATCTGCTTCACTATTATTCCCTCGGATTTTCTGAAATGTCATGGAATTTTAAAAGGTCTATTTCAGACATTGGAAGTCAGAATTTAATATATTTTTTGTCCAAGTCATCAGGGAATTTAGTTTGTTGCTTTAAATTTTAGTTTCCATTTCTCAAAAGGTAATTTTTCAATAACGATTTTTTTTTTATCGCGCAGTTTCACACATCTTTCTTTATGGGCTATTTTGAGCGCCATATTTATTCCCTTCCCGCTCAATTGCAAATCAGTTAGCAGGTGTGGGTGACTGCAGTCGACTAAGGCAAACATGCCAGGAAAATGTAAATTTCAAGAGCTTTGGCTACAAAATTAACAGTTTAAAGACTGGGTGTTAAGAGTAGACGACAGATTGTAAAACTACTATTGAGCTATCAATATGGTGACTTCGCAAACAGCAAGAAGCACGCTATAATGCCGAAGACCCTGGAGGCTGAAATCTTACGGACTCCCACTGGTCATACAAGTCATCGGAACAAAGTGGTATGTAGCTAAAATGTTAGCTAGCTAACTGTTAGTTATAATTAAAGATTATTTTTGTGTAAGTGTAACGTATAACGTTAGCTTAATCGCTGACGAAAATGTTCGAAATCGGTTATGTTGCTGGCTAACGTAACGTTAATTGGTTTGTTAGCTAAAAGCTGTTAACGTTAACTCTTAGCCAACCGGTATAGCCATGTATGTAAAGTCATATATTTGTGTAAATGAATCGTTATTTAATGTTTTAATCAATGTTGTATTAATGAAACAGGCCCTTGAAATTAAATGAGGCAATTCAATCTAACGTTAGCTTCCAGTCCAGCTTTGTTTGGGAATTTAGAACCGATGCGTAACTTACGTGACAACACGCGATAAAATACATTTTACATATTAATAATTTGTGTACTACTAACCTCCTGCCGCGACATGACAAAATATTCTATTTTTGAAATGGATTGTATATTTCTGGGATTTTATATTTCAAATACTTATCATTGTGGATTTCAGTTTGAACGTTCTTGTTTAGGCTGATTTCGTTTCAAAATCTGAGGTAAATTATTCATTGTTGCTCTCATATTGGCAAAGTCTCACAAATTTAAGCTCATTTTAAGCTCAAACAAATGAATTTCATTACAAAGATTGTATCAGTCACTGATTGTGTGTTTTTTGAATAATGTTTAATGGTTTAATTTTGTTTAAATCCGTTTGGTTTTCGTGTTTAGAGCCCACGCACGGTTATGATTGACTGTGATTTATGATTGATTTTGTCAGGTTAGGACAAGGTAAGTTAAAAAATACTAATAATTAGAAAAAGGGTCACGGTAAGCAGCTTTTTCAATAAACACGATAGGATACGATGTCGCATTCGCCCCCTATAGTGGCAGTAGCACATCATTTTAAAATTTAACATGCGCAGCCCTAATTTCACTAATTTACCATGGTAAAATTAACAATGTATGCACATTAGATAAACTAACATCATTACATCTGAAGGACAAATATTAGGTGTTTTCCAGGACTTAAATAATTATTATTTATCAAATAACTGTTTTAGACCTCCAGTACCAGTTTTTGGACAGTGAGATTTTAAGAGTTCTTAGGACAACTTTGATGCACTTTTTTGATCCACTTCAAATGTTGACTACTGTTTATTCAAACACTGTCTGTGGCTGTTTTTTGTCTGCTCAGTGCTCCGCAAAACAGCGGCCTATTTTGCTGTTCATTATAGGTCATGGAAATGAATCTTTTTATTCCGTAAAAGTCAGGGAATTTGACTTGGTTTAGAGTGGGAACCCCTTTTATAGTACGATGTAACATTGAACAACTAAGTTAAGTTAGCTAGTTTGCATCGTTCATGGAACTTCTGTCTCTCGTTTTCTTTATTTTATTAGTCAAGAGTGTTTAGGCGAACCCAATGCAAAAGCTGTGATGCCCCAGTACAATATCACAGATCCTTCTCTGATGTTGGAGATTACTTTATTTTGACCCGTGAATCATTATTCCGGATTATGTCCTGTGTGTTTTCTATCAGCTGTTTAGTTTCAGAACTAGCAATGCCAGAATCATTATTGATCCATCAGTCAAAGAGGTTTACAAAATGGCCTGATTCACTTTTTTGGCAGAGTTTTCTCACACTGAAATAAGCAAGACAGAAAACAAAAAGGATGAAGTCCAAATTCGCTTACAATCCACTGTCGGAAACAGACGTCTTTAGTGTTTGTTAATGATGAAGTATCTGTGTGTAGCTTGGTTTAACCCCTTCCCTGATGATGACTTCATTTAATGCCATTCCACTAACCATTTCCTCAAACCTTGCTATGCAATATATTACATTTTTAAATACATTAATTTGATTGTCCACAATGCAGATGATTTGCTTTATCAATGCTTTTATTAATTTGAGGAGTGTTACAGAGAAAATATTGAGAAGAGATGAATGTTTAGAAGAGATTTGATTTTAGAAGAACATTTTTGTAAATGTAAGATCAGAAAAAGTAAACGTGTATAGCACAATCAATCAAAGTATATCTGGAGCAGGATGACTGCATATGATCTCATATCTCTATAATACACACATAGCTCAGTGTGAATGAACAGGACAAATCGTTCCAGCAACGGTTAGCTGTAGGGTGAAATAATGAAATAAGTTATTCTGATTGTTATGTTCATGTTACCATATGATATGAAATCAAAGTATTGAAAATTATATTAACAGTGCATTCTCACAGCTATAGCTGAGCTCCAGACAGTTCTCAGATCCACCAGCGTTATTGGGTTCTGCAGAGCACCAGTTGATAAAGTCACCACTCACACTTCCATCACTCCAAAACCACTGTCCTTCCTAATAAGCGAAGAGAATGAATACAAAAAGTGCACTACTGTAGTCAGACTTAAGAAGCTAATTAAGTCAAACCATCTTCATTAGAAACATTTCCTTTACTGTAATTTAGAAAAACAAATGGGTCTCTTTAGGACACACACTTTAACTTACTTGTTCACCATCATGAGCACCAGCCCAAAATCGGGTGGAAGAAGAAGGCACCAGACTCAGCACGAAATCATTTTCCGCTTTACTATGAACAGATACGAGATTTCCACCGAGAGCTTGACAGTTTTTCTGAAGAGAAAGATTTTTTTGTCAATATAAAATCTAATCTTTTTAGCAGAAAGCACAAGTGACTTTTAAAACCACATTTTAGTCATTTGCAAATAAAGTCTCCTCTGATTAATTATTTGGTCAGTATCAGTTTTCAGTATTATTTAACTTTAAAAAAAATCACCATCTCCACTTTATATGATAAGATTAGTGTCTTTAACTAATATGTACTAACATTTACATTAATAATTTGATTCAGTGCACTGATTGTGTACATGTTTTTGCATTCTGCATCCAATAAGCTCATTAATGTATGTAATTAGATCTATGATTACACTGTTGATCCGTCCCTTACAGCTTAACCCACCCTTAAACCGAACAGTACCATCAAACCGGTCCCTAACCGTACCCATATCCCACCTCAATAGCAGCAAAAGTGTTTTACATCCACACATTACTGGTAAGTAAATTGTACCAAACTTTTAGATGTAGTTAAAGACACCTAAATAAAGTGTCGTCCAAATCACCTTGTTGTAACTAATACATTACCTCTGCTGTGATCCAGGTCACCGACTGAGAGAAGTACTTGTAGCACTGCAGTCCAAAATTTGTCCATCCATAGGGGCATCTTTCAACTAAATTAACTGTGCATCCAGTACATACATGTTATAGTGCTTTTGTAATACTCAAAACATATTTTAATAAACATACTTATTTTATGTTTGTGTGATTATGTGCCGAAATTAAGTGTCATGCAAATATTAGTAAATGGAATGTTGTACATTTCCAAAATGCTCTTTTAATTATAAGTGTTTTACAATGAAATGTTTAAGGTTGTAAAGTTTACCGTCCGCGTTCCCCATGGAGAAGATAAAGAAAAGAAGAATTACACTTCTCAGCATTGCCATGATGAACCTGAAATTAACCTGAAAATGATTAAGGTTAAATGTCTGCACTCATATGCTGCACACTGTGGATTGTACAGACAAAAGCACAAACATATTTAAAGAAATCTTGTTTCTATTCCAAAAACTCACCTTGATTTTCCGATCGTCGCCTTTAGATTCTCAGAGGAAGTTTTTGTGAAGGTCTAGAAAGAGCCCCGTTTATATACTTTACTTAATGCCACTTAATGTGTACTTAAAGTCACAAGAATGAAACAGGATATGATGATTGGTATCTACACTTTTGTTCGCATGAAATAAATTCCAAATATTGGAAAATGAGATAAGCTTGAAGAAATGTAAATGTTAATATTTATTTTTAAGTATTTTAAATATTAGTTGATGCACTTCAAAACAATCGAAGACGAACGGTGTCAAAAAGCGAGATAAAATCAAGTGCTACTGGGAAAAAAGGCAAATGTTTGGCCTTTCTCAATGCCTGGTGCAGGAGCTTAACTACTTGCTACTTAACTATCTAAAGTACTAAAATCACATGGTTACATAGAATGAATATTCCAATGCACAGGAATGACCAAGGGGGAAATAATGAGGAAATTATGTTGTCTTTCGTTGCTCCCTTCATCCAGTGCATTCAATAATGGCACACAAGTGCGCTGCTCACTCTAAAGTGCCCACTTCAAGGGGAGAAACTTCCCTGAATAGGATGCCTACTTTAAAAATTGTATAATTGTGTAAATGATGGTTCAGATCACTCTAAACACATATGGAAATGGAGGCGACCTTATATGGGCAGTAATGAAGTCTGGTTGTGCCCTAGTGGAAGTGTTCGGTAGTGTGGCCACAAACTCAAAAATATATTTTTTAATAAAATATGAATAATGAAATTTTTACAATTTATATTTTCATAAAGCCAAACTTTTATGACTTTTTCTGTTTCACTTTCTTAATTTATTTAACTTCTACAAAAATCTTGCAAATGTCTTCTTTAAAGCAAGGCCAATCTTACATCTATATTGCAAAGCATTCTATATTGCAACCATTTAAGTTCGGAATTCGGATTGTGCATTTTCTGAGTTCTCATTTCCAAAAATATTACTGGGAAGAATAAAAGAAATGAATGGTTCACTTTACATTTTAAAAACTGGTTATTGTTTTAAGATTAGAATGTGCACTTCGAAGAGATGTCCAACTTAATCTTGGTTAATATTAATTTCAGCATTTACTAATACAATATTAAAATCAAAAGTTGATTTATTTTTGTAGATCTACAGAGTTACATTCTTTCAGCTGCAGAAAGGTATAGGCCTATAGGCTATTCAAGAAGGGGGCTCGAAAACGGCCAAATACAAATATTTTTATTTTATGCATTTATTTATTTTAAGTCAAATTGTGCTAATTTAATATAATGTCTGCTAGAATGTAAAAAAGATAAGTGTTAAACAATTAATTTTAAATTGTAGATTTGTGCTTGATTTTTTTTTTTCTTTATAAAGCAAGACAAAATAGTAAAAAGCACATTTTGATTATTTAATTCATGCAATGGTGAAAAAAAAATGGCAAAAAGTGTTTCATCCTATTGGGTTTGACTTCGGCCAATAATTTTCATTTTGGTGTATCCCTAACTGATAGAGAGAGGTTAAGTTTAAGTGTTTTCTAGCCTATAGTATAGGCTATCGTCACACCAAACGTTGGTGGATTTTAAATGCATTTGAACAGATAATTTCCTGCAGTTTAGCCTCTCAGCGGCTTTTGGCTGCCGGCATATGATATAATCTAAAAACAACAGAGATGTGTTGTCGGTCACTACACAAGGAAACTGAGAAAAGGTGTGCACAGGTGAACTACATTAGCAAGACAAACAAAACCTTGTGTGTGATCCATTTTAATCACTCATATTAGATATTAAATTATTTGTTATAGTTTTTACCTCGTGTTCTCCTTCCTTCCTGGTCGGTTCTCGTTTGTGTATGGTGCATTAATGTTATACTGTGTTAAAGTGAGTGTTCTCCTGAGTTTTCAATTAAATCCTGTTTATTAGGGCTGGCTGGGTATTGACACAAATTTCTCAATTCGATTCAATTCCGATTCGATTCAATATTGATTATTTTGGATATCAGTTCCAATAAATGGCAAATTTTCTCAAGGGAATCAAATCTCTTAACTAACGCTGTAAACGATGGGAGTCTAGTTGTAGCCTATAGGCTTCATTAGCCTAATGTGAAGGTAATAATGAACTGTTTTGTAGCTATAAAAACACTTAAATTACACTTTTATTTATTTTTATAATAAGAAGATTATATGAAATATAAACATTTAAATGGTGGCTGTCATAAAAACATGCCAGATTTATTCAAATATGCATTAAATATTGACGAACATTAAGATTATAATGCATATGTAATATGGTGTATATATTTAGCGAAATGCTCCTCTCTGGAGTTATTTTTTCTAGCTGACTAACGAGTTTATGTGGGTTTTCTGAGGTAAATGTGACAATACATGACATTGATTACAAGCTGTTTAACTGACGTCTTGAAACGCTGATTGAGCGAATCAATGTGACATGATGGATTTGGATAAGTTGTACTCTATCTTTTAACACACTTTCAGATGCTCATTCATGTTTATTTCGCGCTCTGACTGGTATTATTAAGAAGAGACTTCTCTTGAGCTGCGCCAGAGCGATCTTACGCCACAGCGCCAAAACGTTATTTATGTTTTTGAATTTCTAAAGAAAATGGACGTAATTTGAAAATTGAGATGTTGTTTCATATCAATAGTAACAAAGGACAAAGATTATTGCAATTTTTTTTTTTTTTGTTTTTGTTTTTTTTGAATGCGTTCCATTCATTCAAATGTCAAATGAAACAGGCTGACTAATCGATTCTTGATGTGTGTCATTTGAAAAAATATCGGTTATTGATATCGGTTCGTAAAAAGAATCGATATCGGTTCGTAAAAATGAGAATCGATTAATATCGAGAAATCGATATTTATTACCCACTCTTACTGTTTATTCCAAGGGGGTAATCCATCAGCCGGAAGTTGAAGCTGCCTCCGGGGGGCGCCATTGTAGCGGGCTATCACCTGCTGTTAGCATCCCATTGACTCCCATTCATTTTGGCGTCACTTTGACAGCGAATAACTTTACATCTGAGGCGTCCAAAGACTCCATTTATCCATTATTTATTTCTAAAGAAACACGACAATTTATAAAAGGCGCCATTGCTTTGTATGTTACGTTATGGCCCCGTAGAAGCCATTCTTGTAAAAATAGGCTAAAAATTGCGTCATAACCACTCGACTGTCCGTCGCACTGTGAGAAGTTACCGTATAGACAGGAGGAGAAGCTCTTACAGTCTCGCAGGCAATCTTTTACTGTTTAAAGTCACCCCATGGCATAGATAGAAGCAAAATGACAAAATAATTAATCAGAATACTTACCAAAAGTTGCTCCAGGTCGCGCTTCGCCGTCTCTGTGTACGATTAAAATTTGTCTTGGCACGGCTACTAAAAGATTTACAACTGTCAGTCAGTTTGCTCACGTGACCTCTACGTCGTCAAGCTCAGTTTGAGCCTGCGCAGAACGCTTGGCTATCAGGAAGTGAGTGCCCATGTTGAGCTTCAACTCTCTCCGTTGAAATCAACGGGGTCGCTGTGTCCATTTCTTTTACCGTCTATGGTTTATTCCTATTCTCCGACTTCAACGTGCTTTCCAATCTCCACACGCACCGGTAACACATAGAAGGCCAGAAACTTTGAATGCCGACTCATTTTGCAAATATTTAAACATGTCAATCTTTAGACTCTGTGTAAACTATTTAACAAATAATTTAATATCTATTATCAGTGATTGCCTTGGATCACACACAAGGTTTTGTTTAGTTTTCCCTGTGCACACCTTTTCTCAGTTCCCTTGTATAGTGACAGACAACACATCTCTGTTGTTTTTAGATTATATCATATGCCGGCAGCCAAAAGCCGCTGAGAGGCTAAACTGCAGGAAATTATTTAATTTTCACCATTGCATGAATTAAATAATCAAAATGTGCTTTTTACTATTTTGTCTTGCTTTTTTAAGAAGAAGAAAAATCTATTACAAATCTGCAATTTAAAATTAAATTATTTAACACTGAACTTTTAATCTTTTCTCTTTTTTTACATTCCGGTGAGATTATACCAACAAAGCAAAAATGAGTAAAATAAAAATATTAGTATTTGGCCGTCTTCGAGCCCACTTCTTGAATAGCCTATAGGCCTATACCTTTCTGCAGCTGAACGAATGTAACTCTGTAGATCTACAAAAATAAATCAACTTTCAACATTGCAGTCTCATAAACACCATGTACCATCCAAACAAATAGAAATGGACAAATTCTCTTAATGTTTCGATACAATTTGTTTTGTAATCACTGTTCTTTCGTTGGCCAGAGGAGAACAGAGCCTGGGTTCTCCCAAGGTTTTTTTTCTCCATTCAATCACCTGATGGAGTTTTGGTTCCTTGCCACTGTGGCCTTGCTTTTGGCTCACTTAGTTGAGGACATTTAAAGGCGAAATGAAGCAGTGAATCAAGTTTACATGATTTACAAGATGGATTTCCAATATAATCAACAATTATATAAGGAACATTATTACAAATGTAAACATTTAGAAGAAAAAAAGAAAAAACTTTGTATCTTTCGCCGCCAGGGCGCCGCCATTGTGCAGTTGACGTCACGGGGTTGGTTGGCTCAAGTTTAACAGGCTCTGGACATTGAAAATCGCGACATCAAACTGTGTTTACACCAGTGTTTTGACCGAGAACGACTAATGTTAGGTATACAGTTATTAGACAAAAAGATGACGTCTAATGTTATATGTTGACAAACTGCACATAGAAACATCGTTCGCGATGTCTGCCGTCAGATATTCCCGTCTCGTCAACACCATGTAAATTAGCATGTATTTGTTAAAGGGGAAATGAAACGTCCATATTTTCGCACTGGTAGGGCTAGTAGTTACAGCCTACATATAACGTTACTAGGAAAAAGTGTCTCCGCTCTGACATCCTTCAGAGAAAGCATCGCCACTTCCACACGTCTAAGTGGTAAACGTGCGCACCGGTGATGCAGAATTGACCACGCAATAAATGCTCAAGATCAACCTCTTGACAACAGATGGACTCTGACACGGAGGGCATCGCAGGACAACAGCCACACTGACACCTGGTAAGTTAGCGTTGCAAACCCGCTCTCCGCCCCAAA